TTTTTTTTAAAAAAAAATATTTTTTTTTAAAAAAAAGCCAAAAGTAGTCCTTGAGCAGTGGTGCGCCAAAACTTCTCTCTGTAAAATCTTCTGGAGCAGAAACATCAGAGCAAGATAAGAGGCAGCTGCAATTCAAATGTCCAAGGTTCTCTTATAGTCCTATCTGTCTGCTAGGAAATGTGCTGCGTTTAACACAGTGATCTCCAACCTTTGCGCCTTGACTGGGGGTTGGTGGGGTTGAGGTGAACTGGGCCAGGCAAGCGGCAGGCTGGTGTGCGCATGCAGCTCAACTTGTATATGCATGCTGGCCCATCGCTTGTGCGAGTTGAGCTGCGTGCATGAACGTCAGCCTGCCTCTCGCACAGCCCAGTTCCGAAAAGGCTACAGCCCTAGTGGGTCGCAGTCCAGGGACTAGGGACCCCTGGTCTAATGAAATTCATTGGAACCTCATCTGGAAATGGTCTTGTCCCTACGACTTCTCTTCTTGCATTGATTATTATTATTTATTTATTCAAGTCTTATAGCTGCCAATTTCAGCCAAGGGACTTTGGGCTTATCATTCTAAGAGTATAAAAGAGGGGTCTCCAACCTTTCTGGTTTTGTGGACCGGGGTTGTGTGGTTTGAGGATAGGGGGTGGTTCTGTGCAAGCAGCGGGCCTGTGCGCTTGCACAGATCCATTTACTGAAGCAGCGGGTCCCGCTGCTCACACAAATGGAGCTTCCCACGTGAGCGTGTTCACCCACCACTTTGGCAACCTGGTTCCAAATGGGCCACGGGCCAGAAGTTGGAGACCCCTCCTGCAAAATAATTTTAAAAATAAACATCCCCAAATTAGAAACATATAGCAGCCAAGATAGTTAACCAGCTAACACTGAAGCCAAGAAAACAGGGCCTTTAACAACACACTCCGAGTCCCGGTCTATATATCCAGCCAGCTTTTTAAAGCTTTAGAATAAGCCAACAGTCTTGGGGTGATTCTAATCTCTTGAGGGCCATCAACTTCTTATCAATTCCTACCAACCATATAGATTCTCTCCCCATGACAATCTGCCCCTAACCTTCTCTTTCGGGTTTTCTAACAGAGCACTCATCACTGAAATATGCTTGCATGGTGTGACAGAACTGCTGAGTATTAGCTGTGACTGCACAAGCTTTGGGGGAAAAAATGGTTTGTTTTGCTGTCTGTCATGGACCTTGCAATCTTCATAAAACTAAGCCAGAGGACACTCCCTGTCAGAAGTGCCAGTCTCAGATAGGACATTAGCATTAGGTTTGAAATAAAGCACTCTGTGGTAGTAGCAGTACCTGGAGGGTGTTTTTCACAGCTACCATTATCGTAGTCATGCATTAGACAAAGTTGTGGGGAATAATTAAGCAGCTATTGCATTACGTTTGAAGGCGGCAGTGTTTGTGGTTAGTTAGCCTTCCAAACTAGGACACCAGACTTATGAATGCTAATACAATACTACTTTCTTGCAAAGTTACAGTAACAGAATTTTGTGAACCTGAATGCCCCTTTATCTTCATGACCACTAGGGAGGGTTATGCAAGACACCCTTTATCCAATTACATTTCTGCCCCAACTCAATTTTTTTTAATCTAATGTCTTTAATTATGGCTCTTCCTCCTGTTCCTCAAGTTCATTCCTAGTGCCCATTAGAATACAGGTAGTCCTCGACGTACAATTGAATCCAAAATCCGCTTGTTAAGTGAGACATTTGTTAAGTCAGTTTTGACCCATTTAATGAGGTTTGTTATTAAGTGAATAATTGCAGTTGATAACGTGAATCTGCTTTTCCCATTGACTTTTGTCAGGTCACAAAAGGTGGTAAATGAGTCAATTGCGAAGCATCTGAATTTTGATCCCAGGACTATGGAAATGCTGGAAAGGTCTTAACTGTGAAAAACAGCTATAGGTCACTTTTTTCAGCACCACTGTTAACTTTGAAGGGTCCCTAAATGAACTCAAGGACTATTCGTACACTTGGAATTCCACTGGTAACTAAACACCATAGTCTATGTGCAAAGTATCACAAAACCTTTACAGGTAGTCTTTGACTTACTACCACAATTGAGCCCAGAATCTCTATAAATTAGTTAAGTGAAAGTTTGTCCCATTTTACTTTTCTTTACACATTTATAAAATGAATCACTGAAATTGTTAAATTGGTAACACAGTTGTTAAGTGAATCTGGCTTCCCCCCCCCCCCCAACTTTGCTTGTCAAGCAGTTGCAAAAGATGGACACACACATGACCCGGGACACTGCAACCGTCATAAATATGAACCAGTTGTCAAGTCACATGACCATGGGGATGCTGCAACGGTTATAATTGTGAAAAATGGTCATAAGTCACTTTTTTTCAGTGCCTTTGTACACCTTTGAATGGTCACTAAGTGAACTGTTGTAGGAGTGCCTGTAGTAGGCAAAGGAAAGTAAATTAAGATCAACATGTGCAGAGTTTAATTTTAGTCAAAAGAGTAAAGAGTTTTTTGCTTCTGAACACATGCAGCATATTTTGTTGCCCCCTTTTGGCCAGTAAGAGGCCAGAAAACAGTTGAGGCGTAATTTGCTGGGATTTGCTTGTGTATTGACAAGTATAATATTACAGTTAGTAAACCACGTTTTATAATTTGATTACTCAGTTCATCTAAACCTGGTTACTGAATTAACCCATTTTCTGGGATTTGCCCTATTATTCTGAACAATCAACCAAACATGCTTTGGGAAACAGAAACTAAATCACAACAAAGTAACTAATAGATTTTCTTACTATAGGATACAGTAGAACCAAATGGTGCTAGCCATTAGTTGAATAGACTCCTGTGCACAGGCGTGAGCAATTATTGTTATTAGTTGCAAAGTTGTGTCCGACCCATCGCGACCCCATGGACAATGTTCCTCCAGGCCATCCTATCTTCTACCATCCTCTGGAGTCCATTTAAGCTCATGCCTACTGCTTTGATGACTCCATCCAGCCACCTTAGTCTCTGTCGTCCCCTTCTTCATTTGCCCTCAATCTTTCCCAGCATTAGGCTCTTCTCCAGTGAGCCCTTCCTTCTCATTAGGTGGGCAAAGTATTTGAGTTTCATCTTCAGGATCTGGCCTTTATTGCATAGGCAATGTCAGTTTAACTTCACGTTCGTGCCTGACACAAAAGCAAGTGCGATCTTTTCTCATGTTAGTTTTTTTGAGTCAAGAAGGGTGCCAACAACTATACTCTTACTCAAGTGTATTAATTAAATGTGTTTTATTTTACATCATGATGTGAGAACATAACACCTATTTAATAAAAGTATACACATTTGTAACTTCACTCAGAATACACTTTTAATGCACAATAAAAAAAGCATTCCATCTTACAAATTGTTTGCAATCCAAATATACAATAGCTTGGAAAACAAATAAGTTTAGAAAAAACGAATGCTAATGTAAAAAGACTACTTAAACCTATAAGAGTAGAGTTTCTGTATGGCTCTTCTTTACAGTTTCCTTACTGCGTCATCAATATCAGAAATCTGTTCCTTCAGCTGGCTCCACTGTTCTGGATTTAGAGAGATGCCTGAAATAAACCCAATAAATCATTGGAAAATAGTAGTTTCACAGTCATATAACCATAGTTAATTCTGCAACTGCAGAATTTGCCACTGTTTCTAGGGATCATCTCCCGACAACCCATAGCTCTATGTTAAGAATATTTCAAATTTAAACATGCATAATATGAAAGACAAGTTGGGGATAGCTGAATCAGATATTAAGGTGCCTTGCATAACTGAACTCCTCAGCTGACAATAGAAGATAAGAAATTAATTACCAGAAGAAGAAAATATCAATAGTACTTAGACTTATATACCACTTCATAGTGCTTTTACAGCCCTCTCTAAGCGGTTTAGAGGTCAGCCTATTGCCCCCAACAATCTGGGTCCTCATTTTACCAACCTTGGAAAGATGGAAGGCTGAGTCAATCTTGAGCCTGGTGAGATTTGACCTGCCAAACTGCTGGCAGCCGGTGATCAGCAGAAGTAGCCTGCAGGACTGCATTCTAACCACTGCGGATCTTATTGGGTAATTACCCAAAATGGGTAACGTTTGCATTAATCAATTGTGTAACTGGACAATTACTGTTGAAACAGTAACAAACAACTTGAGGAATACTCCTTCATCCTTAACACTGAATTTTCTAAAAGCAAAACTCATGGCACTGTACCACAGCTTTCTTTAAATAATGAATACACTCAAAAGTATTGATTCCTATCTCTGATTTTCATCAAACCAAGTGTTCACATGAGTTGTCAAAAACAAGATGTCAAAAAGAAGTTGCTGGAAAACAGTCAAGTTGATTTATAAAAGCAGGTAGGTCTGGTAACATTACACTTTGCAGAACACACTGTTTCAAGAAATCACTCACATTATTTTCCAGTCCTGTTTAAAATGTTTGGACATGCCTTTCACAGGAGGTAAGAGCAATTATATAATTAAACTGTAATAGATTTAGCAACGTAAGTTCTGAAGTCTTACTTCATGCAGAAATTATGCCAGTTATCATCCAAAGCTAGGTTAATAAAACAACTTAGACCTCCTGTCAAATCAGGAAAGCATCAACTCAGACTGTTGTAACTACCCACAAAACTCTTGACCTTTTCTGAAACAAAACTTCTGATGCTTCCAATTAAAGCTGCACAGAGTGCAGAACATAAATAGGAATTATGGAAACACAGTTAACAAGTAAATCTATTAATAGCACTTTATAATAATTGGCATCTAATTTCATATATTTTGCATTTGGATAGCATATCTAGAAACATGAAGTGCCTTGTTCAAGCCTATAGCTTCAGAACTGTGATGCGAGAGTATAGGCTTTTTTCCAAATATGGAGCTAAAGTTTAGAATTACCTTGCCAAATGAGTTCAAAATGAAATTCAACTCACATTGACAACGCAAGTCTTGTGTAATGGCTAAAGACAGATGGACAGACTTGGAGAATACATTCATCTTCTGATTTCTGGAACAAGTGTGATAAGCCAGAAAAAGGCCCTAAAATTGGCAATATCAGAAAAATGACAACCTTCCAATAAATCTACGTCCAACATTTTTGAAACAATCTTCAGGAAAAGACACACTATTCAAGGGAGCAACAGAAGCACCAAATGTATTCATTTGGCTACTTCCTATAAATAAGCTGATTGATACGAATCCTTCACACAAGGCACGGATTCACATGCCAAAATACAGCTTTTTGATAGATGGCTTTCAAAATGGCTAACCAGATAAAAACAATAGAATGAGGTAGAAAAATCAGCAGCATTACTTCAGTCAACAGACAAAACACATACCTGAAAGTTACTCTATGTGTAAACACTTGCAAGTTAAAAAAAAACCTAGCATTTAAGAAAAAGTTTTTATCCCAACTAAACTCCTTCCTATTATACAACTGTCCTGCACTGCACTCAGTACTGCACTGTTAAAAGACATACCTGTTGGAAGTCTGTACAAGTTTTTTCAATAATATCTCTTGTAAGTTAACTAGAATGCCTTGTATTTAGGTCTGGGGCACATGGGCTTAATATTGCAAATAAATAAAATAACATCTAAATGTTGAAACAGCATATGCAAGTGGATAATTACCTTTTCTGCCAGGTTTCATTTCACCTTCTTGGTCCATCCAATATTCTCTAATATCAATTAGGACTTTACCTTTAAAGTCCCGAACATTGACATATCTCATTTTACCAATCTGTCAGGAAATTAGAAAGTCCAGTCATTAGTTCAATAAGCACATATAAGTACTTTCTTTAATCACTGCTAATATTTTGAACATTCAGCAAAAATTGTAATTTATATTCTAAAACAAATATGACCAGACAACCATGGCTCCTATATTTTTGGCAGTGTAATTCTCGTTTTTTACCTAAGGACAAAAATTCATCCTGTAAACCGATATCCCCTCCAAAGTGGCTGAAAATTTCAACTCCACCCACTTACAGGATGTCACTGGATTAACAGTTACATCTCCCTGATATTTGAAAGAGGAAATGAACATATCCAATATGGATCTGGCTTCAAAAACACTGCCTAGCCATTCCAGAGTTGGAAGAAATATTTATTCTCAATAAAACATCTCAGAGGAACATATACTGGCATTGCAGAAAGACAAAATTAGCATTTTAGGGGAAAAATGTTAAGAAAATTGTATTTCAAAATGAAATTTTATGGCTGCATTTTTCAGAATAGCAGAGTTTCCTTGGGAGGACTTATTACTAAAAAGTGTAGGAGAGCATAAGCATTATGTTTTCAAAAATGTTTGTTTTTAAAAAAGATGGGGGAAAGGCTGCCTTAATTGCTCAAGAGAGAATGCATTACACCAATGAGTCCTTTCAGAAATATAAATGCTTATTTTTTTTTATTTATTTTTTTGAAACTACATATTTAGCAAATGTTAATGTTCCAAAACTAATACAGTAACAAGGGGATTTAGAACTGGAGCAGAGAGAATTTAAAGATTAAAATTAATTGGCCAATCTATCATGTCAGCAGGAACTAAAAAGACAGCCAGTTTCGAACTGGGAGAAAAGTAAAAACAAGAGGGCATGTAAATAATTTCTAGAAACATTACCGTCAATAAGGCACACAACTATTGGCATTCAATTTCACATCTTTTAACCACTAAGTACAGGCTTATTTATTTTAGGGCACCACCACGACATGAAAATTTAGAAATGAATGATCAGAAAGCAACAGCTGCAGAACAAACCTCCTGAAACCATTCACGGAGGAAACTATAACATTAACATACTACTACAAAAATTAGTTGTCTTTATTAGCAACTACTATAAAAAAGGAGGAAAACCCTTAGAGAGAGAATCATTTTAATAACCTGACCAAGTTTTATACTGTTGATTCAGCCCTTTTTTCTTTTTACAATGAGAATGTAAATTGACCTTGACTTTAACTGGACATATTATACAGGTGGACATTAATTAACAATTTTTACAATAATCAGTAAGGGTATTATATCATAAAACATGAGCATTAACATGAGTATAGCTCTCCCTGCGAGTTCAAAGTTTCAACTGAACCAAGAATAACCAAAGGATAGATAATATGCTAATCATAAAACCTTATTTTCTAAATTTGATCTCAAACGAATATTTAAGAATAGTACCCACACTTTAATTTGTGTTCCATAAATAACTATTTAGCCAAAACTAAAAATACAAAGTTTAGCATAACTCATTTAAATGTTTGTGTTTTTACCAAGTGAAATAATATTTCAGAATCTTATATTCTAGATCATTGTTCGGTATGTTTTCCCTTTGAACAATCACATAGTAGCGCCTAATTTTTAACTGGAGAGGATTATTTAACCTGCTTCTTTCAGGAATAAACATTTTTACACCAGATAAATCTCTCCCATTTTCTATTGTAACCATTAAAATGTAATACTGTAAAGCACTTGTTCTTACAGAAAACTCTACTCCTTCCTAGACCTAGGTCAGGGGTCAGCAACTCACAGCTCTGGAGCTCTTTCATCCCTCTGCTGCAACTCCCTGTCGCCGGTCGGCTCCAGAATTAATAGGGCTTTTGGTTTGGACAGCAGAAAAAAAAAGGATGCTGCACTAAGAGACTCTATGGTGGGAGAACCGGACTTCTGGTCTGCTCCAGAATTGAACGCGGGGGCTTCTGGTTAGGACCTTTGCAGCTCTTTGAATATTTAAGGTTGCTAACCCCTGAACTAGGCCAACACAACTTTTGATCATTCCTAAGCTCTGCCAAAAGATGGTGCGCTTTGCAAAATCGGTTGAGAAACAAATTTTGCAAAAACTTAAAGCTCTAGGCCAGTGATGGCGAACCTTTTTTGGCTCATGTGCCAAAAGCGGGGGGAGCACAGGGGGGTCGTGCACGGGCGTGCCACACATGCACGTTTCCGCCCCTCTGCGTGCATGCTCGTGCAACCAGTGCTCCTCCCCTGCTTTTGGGGCTCTTTTTTTCACCCTCCCCAGGCTTTCTAGAAGCCTGGGAAGTGCAAAAACAGCCTCCCTGCCTCCCCCCCGGAGGCCCTCGGGAGGCTTCAGGAGCTTCCCTGAAGCCTCCGGACCACGAAAAACTGGCCCTACAGGCAAACTGGAAGTTCAGGAACGGACTTCCAATTTGCGCATAGGGGTGGTTTGAGCCCTCTGGAGCGTTCAGGAGCTCTCAGGCGGCTTACCTGAAGGCTCCAGAGGGCAAAAAATGACCCTATGAGCAACCCAGAAGTGACTTCTGGGTTGCTCGTAGGGCTGGTTTTAGTCCTCCAGAGCCTTCAGGGATGCCACCTGAGGGCTCCTGAAGGCTCCGGAGGTCTAAAACCAGCCCTACGAGCAAACCGGAAATCTGTCCCCAAATTTCTGGTTTGCCCGTAGGGCCGGTTTTTCACACTTCGGAGGCCTCCAGAGGACAAAAAATGGCCTCAAAAGAAGGCCAAACTGAGGTGGTCAGCGCGCACATGTGCGCTGGCCAGCTGAGAGGGCAAGCCTCGGGTGCCCTGACAAATGGCTCCACATGCCACCTGTGGCACATGTGCCATAGATTCACCATCATGGTTCTAGGCCATATACAGCTTTTCCCCCCTTTCAACACTAATGCTAGGGAATGAGGGCAGTACCGTATTCCAGATGTGAGAAAATTCTATTATCTTGAGTGCATGCAACTTCTAGTTGGTCAAATATTAGGAACATGTTAGCTTGCAAAGTAATTTCTGGATAGAAATCCTCTCTTGCTTTGTGCATCCTGCAAATGAAACTGGGTTTTAGTTTACTTGTGGCACACTGTCCAAAATATGCTAAATTGAATCAACAAAGCAGGATATAAAGATGTGGCAGAACCAAGGATAAAGAAACAGAGAGGCATGTTGCGATAAACTAAATTTAACTGCATTTTCCTATTTCACACTTTGGCTTACTATTCTAGCATTTCCTGCACTTTTTAAAAAGTTACTGGGTATATATGTAAGTGGAACATTAATTGAGCTTATGGGCACCTTAGGAGTAACATGTTACCAAGTCCAGAAAGCAAGAATTGATGCGTTCCTCCAAACAGGGGAATTACCAAGTACACATCATGCTAACCCAGATTCCAATCAACAAATCAGCAGTTACCTGAAACATATTCTCATCTCTGTTGCTACTTTGCACAGAGGAGGCTGCACCTCTGGAACTTTCACCAGTCTTCTGTTTCTTTACAGGTTTTTCTGGGGCTGTCTGTTTTTTCCTTTTTTCCTTGGCATTTAATAATAAAAAAAGAAGGACTTACTGGAGAAGTAATTAGTTTCAGTTCACACAACTAGATCTTTTCCCCACAATTATATGAGAATGGAGAGAGGGGATTCCAAACCTGAATATTAAACCTCTCTGCTTTTACTCAATGTTACTGCAAGGCTATACATTATTTCCATTTCTACAGCATGACCTAGAATTGAGGCTTAAAATAAATCTAATCTGCTAAATAGGACAGCAAGATAAACTGGTTGGAATTAATTTTAAATTATATTTTACAATCTGTAGTTAAGCTACAGATATGTTACAATTGAACTGAATTTTGGTTTATTGCTCTTCAGTTACAAGAGAAGAAACAACGTGGGCCAAATCCTCCAGTTGGTTTCATTTCTTTTTACAAAAGGAGCCCCAACTTATAAGGCTACTATCTGCCAGAAGTGATCTTACAAAATAAAGGCTACAGTTTATCTATGGGAAAATATTTAAATAAGAATTTGAAAAGCAAAGGGCACTATGTTCCAATTATAATCACATTTATTATATCTAGAGAAGATAGGCCTGAGCATAAATCTGGAAATGGAAGGTTTTTATCTGCAGAATAGTTATGAATGGGGAGGTCAATTAACCTCTTTCTACAGGAGACAATGAAACAGAATATACATTTAATTACTTACTGACAGCAGATGATTTGCATGCTGTAATTTAAAAGAAGACAGAATATTAGTATCTCATTATACAGTCTATTTAGCTTAGCAATCAGAATATTTGTCATAAAAAGGCAAAATACTTAGCAAAGGCAGAAATCCATCCCTCTCTTGTTCCAAGCTTGCTTTAAAAAACCCTTTGAACTGCAACAGTTCTTTGAATTAGGTTACAGTTCTCCACATCCATTCAGCAAGAATATTTTAGAATTTTATTTTAAACTGGATCAATAGACTCAAGAATTTTGAATAAGATACAAAAAAAGATTATAAATGTGATTTCAAGAATGACACTTTCAACTAAAACCACAAAAAATAGCACGTGTAAATATCAGCAAATATTTATTACATAACAGCAAATCATTTTAATTTATATTTTAATAAAAAGTACAGGTTAACTGAAGTATTTTTTTGCCAAAATAATATTTATATGGTTCACTTCATTTGTAGCTTTTAAACATCAATCCAAAGCCTTGGTTCTTCAAGTTATGTTTATAGTTAGAAAGATAATTCAAAAAGTATTTTATATAAAATAATCACCGCTGTATCAGCATCTGAATCACTGCCAGATGAGCTTGAAGACACAAGTTCCTTTGATTTAGGCATTCTAGGAAGAAAAAATGCAGTGAAAAATTAGCATGTTTCCAACAAAATGGGACTAACAAATATGCAAGCATGCATTATCGAGCCATTCCTTCCACCACTGTGATAATCAAGCATTCAAGTTTCATCAAATCAACAGAGGAAGTAGGATGCAATGGTTAACATATTAAACTAGGAGCTGAGGTTCCGACACACCAATCCATTCACAGAAGCCCACTGGCTGACTCTTTATCCCACCTGCCTCATTGGGCTGTTTTTCTAGAAGAAAAATAGCAAGGAGCTATTTATGGCATCTTAAACACTAAAATGAAAGATGGATTATATAGAAAGTCTTCAACTTACAATTGGTGGCTTAGTGAAGTTATGACAGACCACACAAAAGGGACTTACAACCCAGTTCCAAAGTTCCAATGGTGTGTGTATTGCAGTTATATGATCATATTTCTGGCACTTGACAACCAGCCTCCATGTACAGCCATTTGCAGCATACTGTGGTCACGTAACCACAATTTATATTGATTTTGCTGAAAACTGGCATTTATGCTGGGTTTTCAACAAAAACAGCCCATAGCAAACAATGAGTTCGCTTAACAACTATAGCATTCACTTAACAATAATCACAAAAAAGAGTCATAAAAACATGTCGGGTCACATAATGGTTCACTTTACAAACGTCAAAAATTATGCAAGTAATGAGAAGGCTCCATTATAGTTCTAAGTCAAGGACTACCTGTAATATCTTGTAAATACCACAATAATATTTAAGGATTAGGATACCAGCTTATTTTAGCATTGAGGCTGTATGAACAACAAGGTTCAAAAAAAAGCACAGGTTTTCTATTTCTTAAGTAATACCTACAATTCCTTCTTTCCTCCATGATTTTCATTCTGTATTATAAAGACAGTGTATCTGTATGTCTCCAAAATGTACTGCATCATTACGAGGCTGACTGTCACAGAAGATGAACATATCCCAAAGCATCTGGAGACACACAGATACCCCACCTTTATAGTAAAGAATGAAACAATGTGGAGAAAAGAAAAAAAATGGATCAAAAGGTTATGAACATAAATATATAAACGGTATCCAGATTGACAGAACGGGTAGAGTGCAGGAGGTGGGCTTCAAGTGCAAGGTTAAAAATAAAAAAGTGTGTGCTAGGAAGGAACCATAGGCAAGTTTTAATACTCTCCCCTTTGCTTGGGATATACTGTATTTTTCGGAGTATAAGACACACATTTTTCCCTCAAAAAAGAGGGTGAAAATCGGGGTACACCTTATACACCGAATACAGCATTTTTGGCCTCCCAAACCCCCACCTCCACCAAAATGGCCGTGAATAGCCTTTAGGATGCTTTCAGAGTGCTCCTGGGGGCTGGGGAGGGCAAAAATGAGCAAAAAATGGGCCGGGTTTTGCTCATTTTTGCCCCCCCCCCCAAGCCTCCAGGAGCACTCTATAAGCCTCCTAAAGGGTATGCATGCCCTTTTTTGATTAAAAAAAACGGGCTTGTTTTCACGAAAAAAACTCCAATTTTGGGAGGTCTGCAGAGTGCAAAAACTTTTTTTTTTAATTTGCCACTTCAAAATCTTGGTGTGTCTTATACTCCGAAAAATACAGTAATTTCCCTTAACAGAGCTCTATAGAAAAATACTATTTGCTTTAAGAAAAAGAAGTAAATAAGAGCCAAGGTGGCGCAGTGGTTAAATGCAGCACTGCAGGCTACTGCTAGATCAGCAGGTCAGCGGTTCAAATCTCACCGGCTCAGGGT